TCCTCAATTTTCAGTCCTATGTTGAACGACAGTTTAGTACTAAAATTAAGGCCTTTCATAGTGATTGGGGTGGTGAATATCGCCCTTTAATCCGGTATTTTAATCAAGTTGACATCATTCATCGTATCATTTGTCCTCATACTCATGAGCAAAATGGTTTAGTTGAAATTCGTCACATTGTTGATACCAGTTTAACACTTTTAGCTCATGCTCACATTCCTTTAAAATTTTGGAATTATGCATTTGATACATGTACCTCTCTGATAAATTATTTACCCACTCCAATCCTCAACAATTTAAGTCCATATCATCTTTTATATGGAGTTGATCCCCATATTAGTCATTTTTAAATTTTTGTTTGTGGAATTTATCCTTTATTAAGTCCTTACAATAAAAAAGTTTTCCTAGCGTTCAAAACTCTGTGTTTATTTGGGCGACTCTTCCTCTCATTGTGGCCATAGATGTCTTGATATTGAAACTGGCGTAACATATGTCTCTAGGCATGCCAAATTTGATGAAAAATGGGCACGTTTTTTACACTGCCTTTGTAATTTTTCTCAGTATTTTAAATTAATAAAATCAGGAGAATACCTATCAATACCTACCAAATACCGCCCTGGTTAATTAAAAAAAAGGTGTACATTTTCCTACGCTACTGATCTAGCGTAACTTCATTTTTGCTATTGACGTCACACAGTTATGGTTTCAAGGAGACAATGGTGGCAAAATCAGTCTGGAGGTTATTAAAAGCTTCCTAACGCTATAGGCAAACATAATACTCGTAAAGTCTTGTGCCCGAGGCATCTTTTGAATGTCTTCAAATCCAATGCCCAAGTGATCCACAAAATAATTATTTGGTAATTTTAAGAAACCTTCAACAAAACATTGTCAAAACTCCATCAGTGGAGTACAAAGCGCTACGACAACCTCAACAATCTAGTATTTAAGTTGACTGAGAAATTGACACAAGTTCAAATGCAATGGGAAAGGAAAAAAATCAGATAAGCAGCTAAGTATACAGCTGGAAAAGTATCGTGAGGAATTGGAAAAGGCACTACAGCTCCAACATGACTATTGGCACCAGAGAACAAAAATTAGCTGGACCCAGTTTGGCAACATCAACACCACTTTCCTCCATAAATGGGCTACAAGAAAAAAAAAGGGAATATATGGATCACTAAATTATGTGATGCTCAAGGATTGTGGGTTCAAGAGCATGATCAACCTAGCTTGCTACTTCCGAGTCACTTCTCAAATATTGACAAAGTTATAAGTTTGGGCCCTTATTAATTATGAAAAGATGAGTTTTCATTAATTGAGTTGTAGTACAAGGCTCTCATATTAACGAGTCCATATCCACCACCTGTCTTGGACCGGCTCATTCACCAAGTCCAGGGTCCAACCGATTCTGTATAGGCGGTGCAAGAATACTAAACCTAGTAAGATTCGGACATCTCCTAGGTCTATAAACAGGGATGATTTCTCCATAATTGAGGTACGCTATCTCTAGCACCAATTCGCATACACATACTTCTTCATAACCCTATTTTCTGACTTAATTATCAAATTCTCTACCTTCGGGAGACCCCCCAAGGCTCTGTTTTACAGGCAACCCTAATCGGAGTTCCACGGTTAAGCCGAGAGTGCAATTCCAGGCTTTGTCACATATATAGAGCTGGTGATTACATAGATACCGTAAACTATACAAGGATAATTACTGTAACAAATATTTAAAAGTTAAATACTAGTGGTTAAGATAATAATCTACCCTTGGTTATCCTTATCTACTGACACTCCCCACAAGCCGATGGTTTAAGCTGACAAAGTCGAAGCTTATCATGCAAAAATTGAAAATGCGTGATGGACAATGGCTTGGTTCGAACATCTGCTATCTGATCAGCGGAAGAAATATAACAAACCTATAATGTTTTATTCACAACTTGCTCTCGAACAACTTTCTCTCGACCAAAATGATAATCCAATTCAATGTGTTAATAATGATGATGCGTAGAGGACGGTGACATGGGTGGGCTTTGCAGGGTGGTGTTGCGTGGGATTCAGAAGATGGAGCCGTGAGGTGATGGTGGAGTTGATGAGGTGATGGAAGGTGCTATTAGGTTCGGTGGTGGAGAGGTAGGCGCGCCTTATAGCACTCAATCTCACCATTAGCTCGCCGTTTGATATGATACACCCATTTATTCCCAACCACATTATGATTAATCCAAGTTTGATTAGTCAAAAGAGTAGATAACTCATCTGACATAGCTTGTCTCCATTCTGGGAATTTATTAGCCTGTGTGAAAGAGGGAGGTTTAACATGAAGATAGTTAACAAAGGTAGAAACACGTTGAGTAAAAAACGCAGTGCGGAAGTTTTCTTTTGAAGAGTACTAAGACGAAGAACCATAGGATGAGTGCGGGTCTCTGATGAGGTTGGCGTAGGATTTATGGTCGAAGAATTAGGAGGGTTCAAAGAGATAGAAGAAGGATTGATGGGATCAGAATGTACGGGATGACAAGATGATGAAGTTGAACAGTCATCTCGTCATTTCCAAGTAGTACTTCCAAGGAAAACCAACATGTATTGCTAAACTGCATTATCTTCTCTGTAAATATGAGCAACTGAAAACTCATTCCTCTGTATGATCGAATTCATCTCTGTCATTTCCAAGTAGTACTTCCAAGGAAAACCAAAATGTATTGCTAAACTGTCAGAAAGCATTTTATTATCTGTTTGAACAATCACATTTGAGAGATGTAACCACTCACACTTCCACAAACCAAAAAGAATGCCATAAATTTTTGCTTTCAAACTGTCATCATTTCCCAAATAACCACTCTCACTATATCGAAAAAATCCACCTTCTACACATGAATTACAAAAAATACCCAGCATCACTTGTGGAGGAGGATCCATCCGAACTCAAAATATTAGAATTTGGAGTTGGTGGAATCCATTTTACAGCAAAACATTTCCTTGGAGGGCACCGAGACAATTGGACTCCAAAATTATCCGCAAGCAAAAAAATTTCAGCTAGCCTCATTTCGGACTTTAAGATCATGTTCCATTAACAAGTCGCAAACATTAGCTCAAGTAGAATAAATTACAAAAATTGTAGTAGGCTTAGTAAGGAAAATGCACACCTTTTTTCTTATGTTTAATCGAGGTTACTGTAGTAGGATAAATGCTTGTTGTTGTTAAATTTTTTTTATTTCAAACAAAGAGTGTGTGAAGTTCTGGCAAATCATTCATATCATATAGTCGAGGGGCTGGTCATTTGAGGTCTCATGTTTAACTTCTACTTGCCCGTTATTTATTCTTTATTAATTGGCCTCGAATTTTCCATTCGATTTATTCCTAATGTACTTCAAGTCTTAAGCACTACTTATTATAATATTTTTGTTTTTAATTAATAAAATCGGAGTCTTCCTGTCACGTATCATCGTGGATACCTTTAAATAAAAATCCACTGCAAGTCTGCAATCTGCCTTTTGATAATCAAAACTTTTGGAATACATTTATTAGGAATTCTGTGTTAAGTTCTTGCTCAACAGAGTTAACGAATGAAAGTGTAAAACTCCCGCATACTAATTTATTTTAGCAGATTTATGTTACCGGTAAAGAACAAAAACCGAAACTAAAGTGACATGATGCGAAAGAATGGGGAATCAGGAAAGACTGTTTGATACTCCCTCCTTTCCAAAATAAGTGTCGTTTTAGGAAAATAGAAAAATTTCAAAATAAGTGTCGTTCTCACATTTCAATACACTTTTTGTCCAAAGTTTCTAAAATTACCCTCGAAAGAATTAATACTATTGGTGAACATTTTTTTAGTGGGGTTGGTTGAGGATATTTAAGTAATTTTATTACCCTATTTAAGAGTTTCTTAAACTATGAGCAAAGTGTAGAATGACATTTATTTTGGAATGGAGGGAGTAAAACTTAGCGTTTAATTCTAAATGTTTAATACTGAAAAAATATTTAATGAAATAATTTGAAGTATTAAGTATTGTTATCAAACAGCCCTGGAGGGAAGAGGAGGATTTGACTTAGGGGAGTGTATTTTTGGAAAATAAGATAAGAAATTGCTATGCTAGCGAATATATATGCTCTGACATTATCACCAGTCAATACAAATTGCTATGTGACGTGTTTGATTATTTAAAGTCAAAGTGCATGTCAACTGGTCAATTGCTTGCCATCAACGCAAAAATAATAAATTAAAATTTCATTAATCCCTGTAAAACAAGAACGATACTAAATACGAGTAATTTATAGTAATGAGGAACGTGCGCATGTGTGTGAGATAAAGGGGAAAAAGAATTGGGAAAAAGGGGATATAATCCAGCAGCACATTGGAAGCTTCTAACTCAGAAATTACCAACTGATTGCATCATGATGAGGTGCTCTTAAATCTTAAGAAATACTAATACACTCACAACTTCTTTTTCCATTTCGAAGAAGAATCCACGTTTAAATTGTTTCTAACGACACTTTTGCTAATTAATAAATGTGTGGTTTACACTTTACACTTAGAAAAAAAAAACTAATAAGTGTGTAAATGAAACAAAAAAGTGATAAGGAATTGCTTTTTTTTTTGTGTTAACTTCGAATCATAAAAAAAGTTGTATAAAAAATTATCATTCTTCACTTTTCCCCTCTTCTTTGGACGGAGAGAATAATACTTTTCGTTTAAAAAAAAAATGGTGGAGGACGCATTCTCAATTTTGTAATATATCTTAAAGCTAAAGCCCAAAAGCAGCATCATGCATTTACACTGAAGCCTTCGTCTTCATCCTTACGCGCTAGAGAAACTTCTTTTTGTTTTCCTTCCAACAATTCTGGAGCAAACCATTTCTTCATGCCATATTTCCCAATTTATAGAAGACCGCCAAAGCCATCCAACACAAATCAAATAACCACTGAAATCTACATCACACACACACACACACACAATAGTTCTGTTGCCAATTAGAAGAACAAGTAAAATTGGTCTCAGAATGGGAGACGGAGACAGTAGTACATTTGGGGAACAATTTTCCAGGCTTGCTGGAATTATGTTCATTTGGAGCACAATTCAGCAGCTAATCCCTCAAAGTGTTCGTCTATTTTTGGATAAATTATGGTCCAAATTGTTTGGTTTCTACTACCCATATGTTCATATCACATTCCATGAATACACGAAAGGCATCTACAATGATGCCTACACTTCTATCGCAACTTACCTTGGTTCTACCCATTCCGGAATGCAATCAACCTATCTTACCGGCGATAAGTCCGAAGACAGCAAATCGTTGATTCTCAACTTGGATGAAGGTCAGGAAATCATTGATGAGTTCAATGGAGTTCACTTTCTATGGCGGGCTTGCAAAGAAAAGGTTGAAGATAATTCGTCGTCCAGGCGAGGAATTATGAGTGGTATTCCACAAGAGAAGAACTCCTATGTTCTTGTATTTCACAAGAAGTACAGAGATATGGTTACAAAGACTTATTTGGATCATGTGATTCAGGGAGGCAAGGAAATTGAGCTCAATAATAGACAAAGGAAGCTATATACAAACAGAAGTAGTGAAGATTGGTTCTGGTTTGGAGGTAAGTGGAATTATATCAACTTCCATCATCCTGCGACATTTGATACTCTGGCTATGGACCCTTTGAAAAAGCAAGAAATCATCAGTGATCTTGATGCTTTTAAGAAAGGGAAAGCGTATTACACGAAGATTGGCAAGGCCTGGAAGAGGGGTTATCTTCTTCATGGTCCTCCAGGAACAGGGAAATCAACAATGATTGCAGCCATAGCCAATTATATGGAGTATGATATCTATGATTTAGAGCTCACATCAGTGATTAATAACTCTGAGCTTAAGCAGCTTCTGATTGACACCAGGAGTAAGTCCATCATTGTGATTGAGGATATTGATTGCTCAATTGATCTCACTGGAAAACGTAAGAAAAAAGAAGCCAGCAAAAGTGAAGAAGAAGAGATGGAATCTGGACAGGAAGATAAAATTGACAAGGACAGCAAGAGCAAGCTTACACTTTCCGGGGTGCTGAATTTTATTGATGGAATATGGTCAGCTTGTGGGCAAGAGAGGATCATCATATTCACCACAAATCATGTCGACAAACTCGACCCGGCTCTGATTCGCAGAGGACGAATGGACATGCACATTGAAATGTCTTACTGCAAATTTGAGGCATTCAAAATATTGGCTAAGAATTACTTGGACATTGATTCACACCCTCTCTATGGTGACATCAGGCAATTGTTAGAGGGAAATGATGTTCGTCCCTGCGATGTGGCCGAAAATTTGATGCCGAAAACTAATCCTGGAGATGGTGAGCAATGCCTGAGGAACCTAATTCAAGCCATCAATGCTGCCAAAGAAGAAACAAGAGTAAGAGGGAAAAGAGGAACACTAGCAAAAAGGTTGAAAGAGACATTCTTGAGTAAATCCACCTTCAAGAAATCTGCTACCAAAGTTTGACAAAGTAGTAATGCTCTTAGTTTAGATGCAAATTCTGTAATTCTGTTGTTTAATTGTCTTATGCATTGAATTTTGATTTGACATGAAAAATATCAAGATCAAAGGTGTTAATTTTGTTCAATTGGAATAAAATCAAGCATGTATCATATTTTTACTCATTCCCATCGTTGACTTCACAATTCGACGAGTCAAACGGATTAAGTGTAGTTCTCTGTAAACTCAGGAGTGATAGTTTCTCTCCCTGGTTGTTATCCTTCTTTCTGGGACACAAATGTATTCTAAATCAAATTATATGTTGCAAAAAAGCCAGTTTTCTAAATCGAAACTACAATGTCTCCGACACCAACTTGAATTTCCTCTAATACCTGGTTCGTTTTGGAAAAGAATTTTGATTATTTTTTTTAGAAGTAACCTAAGTGAACAATAAATAGAGGAGCCCTCTTACTCTCTTAGGTTAAAACTGAAAATCGTTTGTCAAGAAAACCAGCTTAACAAAACAATGAAGATTGTGGGAATTACAATTGCAGAACTAGTTTCAGGCCTAGGAGGACTGCTTTTCATATGGAGCGCGATTACGCAATTCTTACCGGAAACTTTCCGACACCAAATCAAGATTTGGTGCTCAGGGATCCGGCGTTACTTCCTCCCCCGAATACACATCACATTCCACGAGTACAACAACGATGGCCGGATCAACGAAGCCTACACTTGCATCAAGAACTATCTTGGTGCTGAATCCATCAAGAGGGCAGAGTACCTGAAAGCAGACAAATCCCTGAACAGCAAATCCTTGGAATTCGCTTTAGACGAAGGCGACGAGATTGTGGATGAATTCGAAAACGTCGAGGTTACATGGGTTTCTTACAAGGAAACCATCAATGACAGAGGCGGTGGTCGGAATTGTATGCCGATTGAGAAGAGGTACTTTTTCCTGAAAGCCCATTCCAGGTACCGGGATTTCGTGATCGGCGATTACTTGAACCATGTCATGAAAAAGGGGAAAGAAATTCAGTTCAAGAACAGGAATAGAAGGCTTTACACAAACAACAAAGAAGAAGATAGTTTCTGGAGAGGAAGGTGGAGTTACATTAATTTCCAGCATCCAGCTACCTTTGATACTCTTGGGATGGATCCCCTGAAGAAGAAAGAAATCATTGAAGATCTCGATTCGTTTAAGAATGGGAAGGATTATTACAAGAAGATTGGGAAGGCTTGGAAGAGAGGTTATCTTCTTTATGGTCCTCCTGGAAGTGGGAAATCAACCATGATTGCAGCCATGGCTAATTTCCTTGATTACGATATTTATGACATTGAACTTACCTCTGTTATGGAGAATGCAGAGTTGAAACAGCTGTTGATTGAAACAAGTAACAAAGCGATCATGGTCATCGAAGACATAGATTGCTCGCTTGATCTTACCCGGGCTCGGAAGAAGAAGAAGAAAGACAAGGAATCAGAAGAAAAGGATGATGACAACAAGGAAGCAGAGGATGATGAAAACAAGAGTAAAGTGACATTATCTGGATTGTTGAATTTCATTGATGGGATATGGTCAGCTTGTGGGGAAGAAAGGGTCATCGTATTCACTACTAATCACGTCGAAAAACTGGATCCGGCGTTGATTCGTCGAGGACGAATGGACATGCATATTGAGATGTCTTACTGCAAGTTTGAGGCATTCAAAGTACTGGCTAAGAACTATTTGGATATTGATTCACACCCTTTGTTTGAAGAAATCAAGCAATTGTTAGAGGAAAACGATGTTAGCGCTTGTGATGTTGCTGAGAATTTGATTCCAAGGAGGCAATTGAGAGATCGTCATGTGGAGGACTGTTTACTAAAACTTATTGAAGCTATCAAGGCCAACAAAAATTTTGAAGTGGCAGAGGAAAAGGAAGAGGAAAGAGAAGAGGAAGAGGAAGAGAAAGAGGAAGAGGAAGGGGAAGGGGAAGGGGAAGAGGAAATCAAGAACAAAATCAAAACTTTGTTAGGTTGATTTGTAACACTAATCAATTTTAATCTCTTTCAATGTGGATAGTTGATTTTTGCTATTGTTAGGATTGTTGAGCTGATGTGATGCTCTTTTCTGTTATTTTTAATCTTTAATGCCTGTAGCAAGCTAATTATTTAAATCTAGTATTGTTTACTCTTTATTGATCTCATTTAATACTGTTATCTAAAATCCGTTTGGTCAATTAGTTTCTTTCAATTTGATTGATAGTCACGTGACATCAATATACATCATCTTTTTTTAATTAGGAAATTTTTAAGAAATTAAAGACAGTAAATAACTTCTACATTACTGGCTTAAAATGCTTCTTGTTGGACTGATTGAAATGATGAAGGACTTTTTAGATGAAGAAAAAGAAAGAAAAATAGAGTTCATCGCTAAAGAAGAAAAGAGATAGAAGTCAAATAAAAAATTAGTTACTTTTCTTTTTAATTAAAAATAAAATACAACTTCCTTTAAATAGGCTTTATAAAAAACTACCAATGAGAAAAAATAGGAATCAAATTCCACCTTAACTGAAACTAAAAAACAAGAAAATTAGGAATAATCTAAACAATTAAATAATTGACCAAATCTACTTTGAATCAATCTCCAATACTCTCCCATGATTCAAAGTAGCAATAATTCTTGATACGCAGAAATTGTGATGCACTTTCTCATTAATTTGTTGATGCACCTTCTCACCAACCTAACAATTTGGAACACCTTCTCTCCAATACTCTTTTGGTGCCCTTTCTCACAAATTTCCTTAAAAAAGTTTCTCTTCTCCAGTTTCCATCATCACATTTGTTTGTTCGTTTCTATAATTCTTTTGCAGATGTCCAAATCTTTTGCACTTAAAACATTGAGGCTTTCTTCTATACCAAAAGTCTTTTTCTTCATGACCCGGTTTCTTGAAATGTTCATATTCAGGAATTTTTCTGTTTCCTTTAGAGACCGTTGCCAGATAAGCTCCTTCAATAGCTTGTTCTTTTCTATTACTTCTCATAATTCTTCTCTGCTCTTGTGCTTGTAGAGACCTGATCAATTATACTGACATCGTTTGATTCTTCAAGAGACGAGATTTTTTATTCAAATTTTTCTAGCAAGCTCACATGCATCTTTTCTACAATCCGGTTATCAGATAGTTGCTCTCTCATCAAGCGAATTTTGTTCACCACTGTTATCAATCTTTCAGAAGAAGTCTCCACAGTTTCTTCTTCTTTCATGCTTAAAAAATTCAAAATCTCTTTTAAGATTCAAGACCTTCATTTTCTTCGTCTTCTCATCGCCTTGATATTGTCGCTGCAAAATATCCCAAGCCTCTTTTGCTTTCTCACAAGTCATGATTCTTGTGAAAACTGACTTTGAAACGGCTGAAAAATTATTGATAAAGCTCTCGAGGCTTTCGTTTCTTTTTCTTCATAAGCCTTGATCTGAGAAAGTGTCGGATTGTTACCTAGAGGTGGTAATTCTATCCCATTAGCAACCCACTGCCAAAGAGCAAGACTCTTTAAATGAGCTTTCATTTTGACAGCTCAAACTTGATAGTTTTCGCCTTTGAAAATTGGTGATTGAGGAAATGAAGAATTGTTGGAAGCCATGGTTTTTTTTTTTTTTTTTGTTCTTTCACGGGCTCTCCAGATCAAAAAAACTCTACATACCATGTTGAATTTTTTAAATGAAGAAAAAGAAAAAAAAAAGTAGAGTTCATCGTTAAAGAAGAAAAGAGATAGAAGTAAAAAAAATTTAGTTTTCTTTTTTAATTGAAAATAAAATACCACTTTCTTTAAATAGGCTTTACAAAAAATTACTAATGAGAAAAAATAGGAATCAAATCCCACCTTAACTGAAAATAAAAAATAATAAAATCAAGAATAATCTAAACAACTAAATAATTGATCAAATCTACTTTGAATCAATCTCTAACATCAAGGACAGGTTGAATGCCGAGGAAACCGTATATAAGTTATGCAATAACATTTGTCTTCATATGTACAAGTTAGTTGTTACCTGAGTTGTAAGAGAAATTAAAGTTTACACAATTTGAAGAATAGCTACCATGGGCTTTTTCCCAAAAAAAATTAAATAAAATAAACGTGGACAAATTTAATTTTTTCAGAATATTTGTGGACAGAATTATATTGCTCGGATTTCTGAAATCCGAGTTTAGATTAAAATTAGAGATTCAGATTTTGCAAATCCGGATTCATACTTAATAATAAAATAATAATTTCATAATTTTTGTTGAATAATAGTTTTTTTAGTTCTTAAATGAACAGTAAAGCTCGGATTTGTAACATCCGAGTTTAGTTAAAAATTAATAAATCGCGGCGCGAAATTTTTGAATCCAAAAAATCGGAAGTCCGTAATCCGGTTTGACGTATTCGGATTTGCGAAATCCAGATGCCTTTAATTTTGGTTGGTGGAAGTAGGCATGTGCCTTAAATATGAGGACCAAAAAATTAATAAAATAATCCTGAATTGACTAAATCTGGATTTATGAAATCCGAATCTAACGTAGTTTGGATTTCGAAAATCCGAGTTACTTACGGACTCGGATTTCCTAAATCCGAGTTTAACGTGCTATAAAAGAAAAAAAATTTCAGGCAGTTCTCATTCGAGAACTGAGTTGGATTTTCTGTTTTTGCAGCTCAAACAAGGGCGAATTGAAGTTTTTGATGCATTCTTGCCTCTAGATACGTGGAAATCGTTATTTGAAAGAGGTTAGATTGCAAAACCATGTTATTTATTTTATTTTTGTGTTATTTTGATTGTTAGAATGATGTATGATAGATTAGGATTTATGTTGGTTGGTTGTTTGGATGTTTTAGGTGTTGATTTTGAGGTTAGAGATGAGAAATCATAGTTGTTCATGAGATATCGAAGTTGATTTATAAGTATTTTAGTATGGTGTATTTGTTGGAGTATATATGGTGTATGGTATATGGTGTATTTTAGAGAATGTATGGTGTATTTTGTTGATTTTGTTATTAAAAAATGATTAGTTATTGATGTTTTTTTAACAGTTATCAATGGCACGTAATGTATCATACATGCTTAATTTGTATCATACAAGTAAGTATGTGATAGAGAACGGTAGCATCAACACTTTTTCGAATATGCCGGATGATGGTTTGTTTGTCGAAGAAAGGTTGTCATATGAGGGATTGATTAGTAAGATTTGTATGACCCTTGGTTGGGATCCAGCACACGTGAAACTCCACCTTTCTTTGATTTTCGATAGTCCCGGTGGTAGGCGTGTAGTGAAGATCAAGAATGATTCGCATGTAGAGTTCATGAACCGTGTAGATCCAATGTCATGTTTGGATTTATACATAGATTTTGGAAGATATCACTCAAGAAGAAAGAGAAGCGAGTTTGGAAAACGTGTCATTTGGTGATTTTCGAAGGAGGGAACGTGCTAGTACTTCTCGAAACCGTAATGAAGAGGAGACACCTTTATTTGCACAAAATGACTACCGGGAAGAGTCGGATTCCGACTACATAGCTCCAATTGAAAGCGAAGAAGACTGTGATGTCTCCGGAGAGAGTGATTTTGAAGAAAGTGATGATGAAAGGTTGGAAAATGAGGAAAGGGATTGTAATCTATTCGCCCGACGCCATGTATATAGTAAGATGGGGAACTGGGATGCCTCATGTGTAGACAAGGATGAGTTTGCTCTTAAGATGTGGGATGAGACGCCCGAAGGAATGGACATTGGTGTTTGTTTCAAATCTCAATCAGAAGCAAAGCATGCTGTGAAATTATGGAATATCCATCATAAAAGGGAATATACGGTCGCCGCGAGTAGTCCAAGGATGTGGGCTGTGCGGTGCAGAACATTTAATGTGGAAAGTGAGGATGGTGAACCACCATGTGAGTGGAAGATGCGTGTGTCATTGAAAGCTCACGGCCTTCATGAAATTGTGAGATGGCATGATGCACATAATTGCATGACTCCTGTGAATGATAATGACAATCGGTGTGTGGACGCGTCTTTGATTGCTAGACTCATCAGGAGAAAGGTTGAGGACAACGTAGATTATACGGTAGCCTCGGCACAGAAAGATGTGAAGACCTTATTGAAAGTAGATGTGCCATACAAAGGGCGTGGCACGGGAGGAGGAAAGCCATAGAAGCGGTCTATGGTGATTGGACCTCAATTTCGAAGAACTTCCACGGTAAATATCAACTTTTATCCGTGTATTGAAATATTTATAGTATTTTTATTTTTACATGTATTGAAATATTTTAACAATGACTTGTTGTTGTTTAGGTATATCACTGCGCTTAAGTTTACTAATCCTGAGACTGTAGTAGAGTGGGAATGGAAGGAGGGACAAGAAGGTTGGAACAGGGGAAACCGGACATTTAAATACGTCTTCTGGTCATTTGCATCGGTGGCTGAGACGTTTTTTGAATGTCCACCGGTCATTTGTATCGATGGAACCTTTTTGCATGGTGGATACAAGGGTAAATTGCTTGTTGCGGTGGTGTATACCGCAAACAAGCACATTTTACCGGTTGCATTTGCGATTGTTGATGAGGACACAGTAGAGAGTTGGACATTTTTTATGAGGAATTTGAGGTTGTGGGTTGTGTATGATAGAATCGTAAGTGTGATATCCGACCGGAATGCAGGGTTGTTGAGCGCAATGTCACAGATGGATGAATGGCGTGATTTAGGTGATGGTGGGCACTTTCTTTGCTTCCGCCACGTTCGCAGCAATCTTGTATCGCGATATAATAGCAAAAAGGTGAAGCGGTTATGTTGGAAGATGGGCACGACGCTTTCAAGAGTGGAATACAACCGTATGAGGGCAGAGCTTATTGAATTCAAACCTGCTGCATGGGAGTATCTTCGAGGGATTGGGGGGAGTAACTGGGCTCGATTGAAAGCCAGTCTTCGCCGTTGGGGCATAGCGACAACCAACATTTCGAGAGTTACAACAATGCGTTGAAAGGGATCCGTTTTTACCAATTAGAGCCTTGATCGATGCAACCTTTCGCAAAGCTGTTAAATTCTATAGAGAAGAACAATTGCTGCGAGAAATTGCATGACACCGATCCTCCCGAGTTATGGAAAAATACGAGAAAATGAATGATAAAGCAGCCAGTTTTGAAGCCACCCCTTTCGATGGTGATGATGCTATATGGCGTGTTGTTACTGCCACACGCCTAAGTGGCAGGGGTGGGTCTCTGCATACGGTGAACTACGATGAACATAAGTGTTCGTGCAGGAAGTGGCAAGAGTACCGGATGCGTTGTACGCACGCACTCCAAGTTTGTCGGAGAAAAGGGGATCGACCTATTGATCTATATCATAGTGTGTGGCGCCTTCCAACGTGGCGCAGACAATTTCATTACACGGGCTTTGTTCCGGTTCCCGATGAGGATCAATGGCCGATGGTCAATTGGAACATCATTCCGAATTATGAGCGTCTTGTGTTGCATGCGGGACCGGGACGAAGACAAAAAAGGAGACATAGAATGCAAATGGATTACAGGGGACGCCGGAGCTGGGGGGAATGTTGGAGATGTGGACAACTAGGTCATGATGCCAATTCTTGTCCGTTCTCGCACCCAGGAGTAGATAGAAGACCTGTGAATGACAGCTGGAATTGAGTGTAATTTACTGTTCTTGCAAGTTATTTAATGTTTGATAAATTTATGTGAACATTGATAAATTCGGATTGTAATGTGAACATTGAATTTTTCGGATTGTAAAGTGTGATGAAATATGCACTATTTTTCATAACAGTACATCGGATTGTGCAAAATACTCATCATTGTAAGGTTTTGTAAGGGATTCGGATTTCAGAAATCCGAGCTCAGAGTTTTATTTTGAAATTGCAAAGAACTCGGATTTCCGAAATCCGAATGGGTGAAACCCATCCGAGAGTTGAAATTTGAGGAGAAACAGGGGAGATTCGGATTTTATAAATCCGAGCTCAGAGATTTCCTCGAATTGGCAAAGGACTCGGATTTAGGAAATCCGTGTTTGTGAAAAGCATCCGAGAGTTGAAATTTGAGGAGAAACAGAGGAGATTCGGATTTTATAAATCCGAGCTCAGAGATTTCCTCGAATTGGCAAAGGACTCGGATTTAGGAAATCCGTGTTTGTGAAAAGCATCCGAGAGTTGAAATTTGAGGAGAAACAGTAACAACTCGGATTTCGCTAATCCGAACTCAGAGTTTTTTAATTTGCAAAGGACTCGGATTTCAAAAATCCGTGTTCGTGAAACTATCCGAGAGTTGAAATTTGAGGGAAATAGTGAAGACTCGGATTTCGCTAATCCGAACTCAGAGTTTTTTTAATTTGCAAAGGACTCGGATTTCAGAAATCCGTGTTTGTGAAACCATCCGAGAGTTGAAATTTGAGGGAAATAGTGAAGACTCGGATTTAGCAAATCCGAGTTTAACGGGATTATATATTGTTCGGTCAACTCTTCCCTTCCCATTTTTCCCCCGATTCCAGAATTAAAAAACCCTAAAACTAAACTCCAATTAAACAAAAATCCGGCGAATCCCACCACTCAATCCGGCGACTCCCTCCACTCCCTCCGTGATTTCCGGCGACTCTCTTGCATTCCGGCGACTCCATTTCCAGATTCCGGCGTCTCTCCTCCCTCTGGACAATCCGGCGTCTCTCCTCCCTCTGGATAATCCGGCGACTCCTTGCAATCCGGCGACTCCCTCCGACTCTCTCCACCTCCGGCGACTTCCTCTACTCCTCCCGACTTCCTCCATTCCTCACCGTAAGTTATTGATTCGCGATCCTCTCTTTATTTTTTTTTGTCAAAAATTTTTTTTTTCTTTGTGAAATCCGAGTCCTTTTTTTTTTTGAATTGTGGTTGGTTTGTGTTGATATAGTGTTTGTGTTGAATTTAAGTTGTCTGTATTGTGAATTGCTTATAGATGTGGTGTTGATATAGTGAATTATGAATGTATATAGTAGTTTGGTAGTTTTGTTTATTTGGCCGAATGTTTATGGTTTGGATGATTTGTTTTTTTTGGCCGAGTGTACATCGTTTGGTAGTTTTGTTATTTGGCCGAATGTATATAGTTTGGTAGTCTTGTTTATTTGGCCGAATGTTTATGGTTTGCTAGTATTGTTTATTTGGCCGAATGTTTATGGTTTGGTTGATTTCTTTTTTTTGGCCGAGTGTACATCGTTTGGTAGTTTTGTTATTTGGCCGAATGTATATAGTTTGGTAGTCTTGTTTATTTGGCCGAATGTTTATGGTTTGGTTGATTTGTTTTTTTTTGGTTACCTTGTGTAGGATTGAAATGGCGACGCCGACATCGGGCTCTCAATATGACTATCAACCTAAACATCTTCACCCAGGACCTATACAAGATAAAATGCTATATCGTCAAACAAAGCATAGGTCTCAAGCTGTCTATGAGAACAGGATACCGGACATCAAAACATTCCGCCTCAAGGACCGTAGGTACGACAGTGATTTTTGGGCGTTATATAAAAATACGGCACCGGAGGTTAAGGAAGTCATTAGGAGAGCCGGTTTTGAGGGGATCATGAAGGTAGGGTACAAAAGAGTTGATCTAGGCCTCATTACCGCGTTGGTGGAACGGTGGAGGCCAGAAACCCACACTTTCCATTTTAATTTCGGAGAGGCGACGGTGACGCTACATGACGTCGAGGTCCTGTTTGGTATTCGGGTGGATGGTGACCCGGTGTACGGCACGACAGTTAGCCGGACTGCAGATGAATGGAGGGATCGATGTGAGGCTTATTTGGGATTCCGGCCGGCGACTGTAAATGGCCAATATGTCAATGTTGGTATTTTCGAAGATGAGATGGGCCGTGCACTACCTGAAAATTCCACTGTCCATCGATTCGAGCAAAGGGCCAGGACACTTATACTGCATTTTATTAGCAGTTTCATGTTTCCGAACAAGACGCAGAACACTGTCAATCTACAGTTCTTGGCCCAGTTGAGGATTTGGATCGGTGTAGTCGATACAGTTGGGGATTGGCTTTGCTGGCTGGGTTGTACTCTGGCCTATGCGAGGCATCACAGTATACCATGCACGACGCCACTGGGTGTCTATATTTGTTACAGGTACGTATTAGTTTTCATTTTGTGCTTTAATTATTTTGCGCTTTCGACGTTATAATTTGAAGTTTTTACATTATTATTGCAATTTACTAGGTATGGGCGTATGAGCGGATCGAGAGGATCGCGCCCCAAAGAAAAGGAGTAGATTATTTGCTTGATGAGACCGCTCCATTAGCTCAGCGGTACGTATTTTCAGTTCGAAATAACTCAACGTTTAATTCTATTTGTTTCTTATTCATTTAATTTCACTAATTCAAATGCATTGCGTTGTTTATTAAGGTGGGAATGTAGGTACACGTACGGCGACGCCCCAAGGAGCAGCACTCCACCTTTTAGAGATCAATTAACAAGTCTGCGTGTTGAAGATGTAAGTACTTGTAATTTGGTATTTATATTTACTTTGAGATCAATTACCCCTTTCTTTTGGTTTCGGTTGTACCATCTAATGAAATTTTTTTCGTGCAGTTTCGGTGGCAACCATATGCACATGTCCTCCATAGACTCTCTGATTTCTGTACACAAGGCCAAGCCATTTGGACGACTAGGTGTTGGATGTTCTGTTGGGCTATTAGGGAACCCCACGAGTCGGGCAGAGTCGTAAGACAATTTGGATACATACAGGATGTTCCCAAGCGCCCCATGATTAAAGATAACGCAGCATTCCTTCTCGATCACGCCCACAGTATGTCTGGGTATCCTAGCAATAATTGGGAGGATCACCATTCCGCAGTACGCCGTCATTGGAATAGGAGAGAAGAGTTCGTGCTACGAGATTTGGAGGAAGGAGATCCTGGTTCCGTATATGAGGGGTACTATGAATGGTTCATGGTGAACACTGTCAGATTGATATCCAATCCCGGTAATTATGAACCTCAAGGATACGAGACTTCTTCGAGCCGCGTGAAATTATATGTGAGTTAATTGTAGATTTCTTTTATTATTTCTTATGTTTTCATTTTTTTTTTCATTTTTTTTTTTTAGAACTTTACTCTCTTAATTAACGTCCCAATTTCTTTTCAGGGTGAAGTATTGAACAACATTCGCGTGAGTACCGAGAGGTTTAGAGAAAAACGAGAAGATGATAATCTCCTAGACGAAGAACTTGACAAGCATTTGGACGATATCATCAATCAAACACATGATGCTTTAACCTTGGCGCAAATGATGAGATGGAGGTGGATGATACCCAAATCTGGTTGATGAAGATCCATTTTTGCCCTCACAACCTCCGCGGGTAAAAAGCGAAACCGTGGTCAAGAGATAAGATTGGAGGAGGAAGAAAGAGAAAGGTCACAATCCCCTCGGACATCGCAACAACAAACCGAGGGTCAACAAAATGAGGATCAAGCACATTCCTCTCGAGGCTCGCGCATCCAGTCGAGACTCATTTTGAAGAAGCTGGTGGACCCGAGACTCGGTTTGACATTGGTGGACCGAGACTCGGTTTGACTTTGGTGGACTGAGACTCGGTTTGGTGGCGATGCAACCACAACCGGAGTCAAATTTATCACCATGGGGAGTCCCAATCTCAACCCCAAATCGAGGCTCGGTTTGGTGGGACAGTCGCAACCACACCAAAGTTCAATACTCACGTATCTTAAGAGGGAGACAGGATCCGACAGGCCCAAACAAATACACTCGGATGCGCACAATAAAGGAAAAGGGAAAAAATGAGACATTTCATTATTTTGGACATTTATAGTAGTTTTTGTATTGAACTTTTTATGAAACTTGATTTATTTTGTTGTTAATCGAATGTCGTTTATTGTTTTGTTGTTATTAAATTCTGTTTTTCAATGTTTCATTGTTGTTGGTCTTTGTAAACATGTTTAGGATGGTGAAAATCAGTCAATTTTTTTCGATTCGACAAAGACTCGGATTTGAAATCCGAACCAGACTTTTGTAAAGAATTCGGATTTCGAAATCCGAGTCCGTACAACCGGGAGTCACCATTTTCCAGAAAACAGAGCAGATTCGGATTTCGGTAATCCGAGTTCTGCCCAAATTTAATTTTTCAACACATTATTTTTTCTCTATCCGAAAATTAATATTTTATTCATAAAAACAGATTTATAAAATCCGGATTTAGATTAATTACACTAATTTTTGTCATTAACTTAATATCGGATTTACGTAACACAAAGTCGGATTTTAATAATCCGAGTTGATTTGGGGTCGGATTTCCGAAATCCGAGTTTTTCCCCTATTCGGATTTCCTAAATCCGGAGCATATAAATTTGTCCACAAGATTTTAAAAAGCTTTATTTTTGTCCAGGTTTTTTTTTTCATATATATTTAAGGAAAAAATTCTAGCTACCATGACCCTGGAACAGTGAAGTCGAAAAAATTCACTACTGTTGTTTTCCTAAGCTAGTGTTAGCGAGATATTCCTGATAAGGTCGAAATCCTTTCTGGAAATCTAATTCTTGTTTCTTTAACGTTCGGAATAGCTTCAGTTCTTTCGAGCTGAAAGATAGACCTTCGTCTTTAAACTTCAACTCTATGGGACACCCAACATTGAACAGCTCTTGGTCTACCATACCCGGACTGATATCAAGGTCCAGTTGGCGCTTTTGGAAAAGGAAGTTGGAAAATCTGTTATTCCCAGTTCCAAAATTTTCAAAGGCTGTAAACTTCTTCTTCCCAGTTTCAGATTGTCCCAGAGGATTATGATCCACCCCGGGAACTTCGTCCAATAACGCTACTGGTTCATGACAGCCGAACTTTCTTACAGTTCTGTCATCGACAAGAAAGTCATCGTTATCATCAGCAAGGGAGACAGGTCTCTGAAGCTGAGAGTCTGTTTCAGAATTTGAGCTAGATAGTTCATGAGCTGCTTCCATCACTCTATTACACTGAAGTTTGAGTTCATCATCTGCAGAGCGTATACTTGTTTCTTCCTCCGTTGACCTTCTAGTTGGAGCAACTTCCTCCATGAAAACCTTGTGAAGTGTAAGTAGAAAATGAACGGGCACGAAGGCATTTGAACCCTGAAATTTGTTCATCTCAAATGGAAGTCCGGGCTGGTTACCAGAACAACCAAATTCGTTCGAAAGTTCAGGATTTTCTGTGTGGCAAGGTAAAGCCAAATGAAGTAGATATTTTGGCATCCCATCCCAAACACTCCTTAGGGAAATTTCATGCACACTTGTTGGCAAATTTACATCGTTTAAGACGTCAATGATCCTAGACAATGGTACAAATTCAGAGGACTCACCAGACTCCATCATCCTATTAATCTCATTTTTTGATGCCCTTTGCAAGTCAATCGCATTGAACTTCTTCATTTTCTCAACAAGGACTTCATCCAAATCACCTTTCAAATATCCCCCAAGGTGTTCAAGCATCAGGTATCCGGTATTCTTTTGATAGTTGTCCTTTGCTTCCACTGCATCGTACAAAAGGTCAGCTTGAGAACCACATAAAGGCTTAAGGTGAGGTTGATCATTATTTTGATCAAATTCCCAGACGGCTTGATATCTCATTGCTTCTAGTTTCCCAGAGGACATTAACCTAATTAGCAAAAATCCACCAAAACTGTCTGCTTTTGGCGTCTGAGCCCATGGATCTCCATCAAGAATGCTGAACCCCATGACTAATCCCCTCTTTTGTCTCCAATCAATCCAACGGGGAAGAGCTTCCTTTGAGAACTCGTCTCTCACTAAACAGTCTGCACAGTGGGTATCATTTCCCGACAGTGAGAATTCAGAAGGGAGACCCCAGGCATACAAAGAGCCACAGAATTTGGCAATTTCAGAAGAAAAACATTTGCTGCTGCTTTTTGGTCCATAAGTGAAAAGCCTAAACTCACTGTTCCAAAATGATCCCAAGAAAATGCAAGAGCCTAAATTTGTTGCCCACTTAAACTTATCATTTTTCGCGTTCATCCTGAGCTCGGACAACCTAAAGAAAGTGATAAAGCATGGATTATCAAGGTTATGCACCCATTGCAAAAGTGGCTTAAATGGCTGCCTCACATCACAAAGCACAAGAAACCTTCTAGAAGCTACACAAAAGTTGAATCCATCGGAACCACCAGCTCGACAGAGTGTGAGGAATCTATCAATTTTAGGCGACAGCATCTCAATCTTCAGTAAACAGCTAACACTGCATCCATTTGACCTTGCGTCAATGACAAAAATGGCACTCACATGACCAACTATTAGGATTCTTGGATGCCAGCTAAATTCAATAGCAAACCAGCAACCACGGCCAGTATCCTTCAAATTTGTACCACCCCACAAAATCTTCAGCTTCCTTTTTTTTACCTCATTGTGAGAACCAACGTCAAACAAGAACACTTCACCAGACTCCAACAAGATTGCACACTCTTCATTTAAATGTGGACTCCAACAGGCATGAATAACTGCAAAACTCCTGAAAAAATTACGACCTAAATATTCTACCTTCACGCTCCGTCCCCCAAAACCATCAGACCTTAACTTCACCGTATACCAATGCACAGAATACATGGTACAGGCCATTGCATAGCCGATAATGGCAACAGAACTCGCTGAAGATGAAGTGGCAGAGCAAACTGGAAATAAAAACACACATACAAACATAAAAATCAGAATTTTTATTGATATAACTTTCACCACCATACAAGTGCGTGCAAAGCTAAATAAATGGCAAGCACAATGTTCGTACTTTTCTAGGCCAGAAACATGAATGTATTTGGATAATTTTAAGACTGACTGATTACGAACAGCATAGCACCAAAAAAACAAAAAAAAAAAAAAAATCAAAATAATAACAATAATACCTGTTGAAAAGTCATCATAATCAGAAACAGGGTTCACCAGCAACTTCAGAATTCGAGATTTTAATCTATCGCCAGTGGTTAACACTCTTTGGTATTCACAACCTGAACCAAATCCCATTTTGGAATCCTTAATGCAAAACTTAAGAAATCCAACTTCATCACAATTCTCACCAGTTGGGAAAAAAGCCAAATAAAAACTTTCATCACTGGTGCCACACTTGTAAGTGAGCAACTGGAGGGAATTAAAACCATGCAAGTAACTGTAAGAAAAATCGAGTCCTTCTTGAGGGCCTAATTCAGAGGCAATGGTGGAAGCATCAGAATAAAGCAAGGAAGAGGTAGAGGTCTTAAGGAATCTATGGAGCGATAATCTAGGATAAGGCTGTGGAAGGCGAGGGGCTAAAGAGGGTGAAGAGATAAGACGGACAAGAGTTTCGGGACATGGGGCAAAGATAACAGGGCCAATGTCTTCACAGTTTCCTTCCTCCTTTTCTTCTGGGAATTCATGACGGGGTCGTTTTGGTGGCGGAAGGTACTGGTCAGCTAGAGCCGGTGAGGAGTATACTTCAGCAACTCGCCATAGGAATTTCCATTCCTCTGAAAAGTCCATTGCTTCTTAACGCTTTGTTTGCTTGGAGAATCAGGCTGGCAATGGAGATCAAAGATAGAACATGGATAAATTCCTTCCGCTTGGGAGAACATTGGTCAATGAGTTACTCCTATATTCGGACCTGTTTCGAACTGCTTGATTGATTGCGGTTCAAAGTTTTATTGGTAGAGCAGATTCCTTAATGCTTCAGCTGTCTTATGCATATCAGTTCTTCAAATTGCCACAACCTATAAACAAGGAGAAAAAGAAGTTAATTCATAATACTGTATAAAGCTACTCTTATAAGTAAAATAGAAAACAAAAATACTGCGGAACAATAGAAGGAATATAAATTATAAACTCTAAGCCCAGAGGTACCAAACATCATCTTCCATCACTGAAATCCAAATCTTAAACAATCACTTCTGTTTCCCTAAAAACAAAAATCAATGAAACGAAGTGTTTTTTATTCAGACAACAGAATTCCACTAGTAATTTCTTTTGAGTTCATCATAATGACTGATAAGCCATAGTAATCTGTGATGTGACTTGAAAAAAGCTAAAAAGAAGTTGGTCTTACATGCAATAAAGATAACTGAGATATATACTATCCAGATTACAAATACTCAGCATAACAAAGTAAAGTAATGCTCCAAAAATTTCAAAACAACTACTCAATACACGACTAGATTTCAACCAAATGGTTACAACTTACAAGGGAACACTGAGGTACAGCAAAGTTTAAGAAAGTGATGCATTCAAGAAAATAAAGCATTCACTTTGATCTGTTTTAATTAGTTATTGATTTCAAGCAGTAATTTAATAGTTTACAAAGATGTTTCTTGTTTATTAACTTTTTGCGATGGCCTTAACAAATCTGATTCTAGTTTATTAACATTTTCCCTTCAGATTTTATCCCATTGTGCAAGTACGAAGAAGCAGATATCTATGGCTTCATCATGCCCTCACAGAAATATAACATACCAGAAAGTCACGAAGAAGCAGATATCTATGGCTTCATCATGCCCTCACGGAAATATAACATACCAGAAAGTCACGAAGAAGCAGACATCTATGGCTTAATCATGCCCTCACGGAAATATTACATACCAGAAAGTCAACTGAAGCATCTAACCGATCCATCAAAACTTGACACCCAACCAAACAAACAGATGTGTGAAAAGGCACATTTGCATCCTGGAATTTCTCTTAGTTCATCATATAGAATCTCTAGATATTACTATTCAGCAGAAGAAAAATGTTACTCGTGCTACCTAGCCTAGTCATCATTCTGATCGTAAAAGTGTAAAGGCAAACATTTTCATTGGAACTCTTGAAGCAATAAAATCAACCCTATTCAGCGACACAATGTAGTGGTTGCACTCTCAGCTATTCACAATAGAAGTCGCATAAGAGATCATAATAATAAGAATTTACAAGCTTCATAGTACTAACTCTTTTTCCAGTAACATGAAAAGTGCTTTATTCAGAAAAACATTCTCATTTTCGAACAGAAATTTTGAAATCCCCATGTAGTTAGTTACAGATACATACAAGATAGAAGTGTGAACTAAAAATATCCACCATTCAATCAGAAATCTCTGTAGAATTTTACAACCCATTCAAGAAATCAAAATAAAAAATTTAAAAAAAAAATCCAAACTTTAAAACCAACAAGGCAATAGATTGTGCAAAGGCTGCAGCTTGACAAATTCTTGAGCTGGCTAACCATAAGATCGAACAAATTCATCTTCCTGTAAACTTATAAAACTTTCAACAATGCTCGAAAAAGCAAGAAAACTACTCCAATGTCAATCCTAAATAACAGTTAGACTAGAAAAGAATTATAGGGACATGAGATAATCAGAAGCCAAATTTCTGTGTATCGCCACAAAAGCTCAATAGTTCTAAATTTGAGAATATAAAAGCCAGCCTTATTGCAAAAACTTAACTTACATAAGTTGTTAAATTATCAAACAGGAAAGGCGAGATTGTGAAACCATAGTTTGCATTCCCAATCAAAAAACTAAAGGGCAAACCATCACTGAACCTCCAATTTACAAAATGGAGAAAACTATAATGTATTTTGAACTTCATTAACGGTGCATTACGCGTTTTCCTCCGACCAAAAAAAAAAAAAAAAATCAACCCACAAACTTGTCATCCACAAACATGTCACTCAGTAACAGTTTGAGCTGATTTCTTCAAAATTGAAATAGCAAATAGAAATAATGCCCCAACTGAATAACCCACGGATTGAATAAGAAGGAAAGCACGGGAAAGGGGAAAAATAAATAAATGTAATTCAAGATATATACCTTATGGATTTGGGTAAACTGAAGAAGGCAGAGAGGCCGAGAGAATCAAGATTATGTCTAATGAGAGAAGATGGTGCTGCAATACTTAGGAAGCTTTTGAAATTAGCAAGAGAGATGGGTGGCTTCGGTGTGTGTTTTCTGGTGAAATATTTTAGTTTCTGTCTCCGGAGACGAGTGGCGGCGCGGCTGAAGGAGGAAGAAGAACGCGGTGAAGATTTTAGAGAGGTTTATTATATTTTATACTGAATTATGATTTTAAAAGGAAATACCCACGTATATACTGTATTGGTTTTTTTGGACAAAACGGAAAAAGAAATAAACAAAAAAATTCTTCCTCGCGCGCTTTTAAGTTTTCCAATATACCAGAAATAAAGAATTTCTGTTGATGCAATAAAATTTATAAGATTAGTTAATGGTAACTTTTACATTTTTTTTTTATTTTTTGTTGTAGGTAAATGTTTCTTGACATTCTAAACTATTTACACTATCAATATATATCAACAAAAGAATTTTACATTCCACACTAGGACGGTTCTGCTGCGCGTTGCGCAACCAGTCTATCTATTTTTTTCTTTTTTGTGTTCCGGATATATTGTATTATGGTAAAATTTTGGTTATAACCATTGATTTTTATTAATTTTTTTTGGGAAACGTACATGATAACAAAAATGTAACAAAAGTATTTGAATTAAGTATTAAAAGAATTGTAGAAAAATCACAATGGTAGAATCTCATAATTGAGTCTTGTGACCTTAGGGATGAGGAGATTGAATGTTTTGTGGTTCATATTTTTCATTATATACACATTCAAGATAAATGTACAGATTATATCTTGACAGATGTGTAATCGAAATAAGATTTAGAAAATAGAAATCAAAAGAAGAATGAAACATCATTTGATTGATAGACAAATTGGTTGCTAAAAAGAATACAACAAGATTTTCAATTACTCACCTGTAGTCAGTATTTGCCGCAAGGAAATGCATATAAAGAACTGAGACACCACCAAAAACTATGCAAAGAATCATGGGAACACCAAAACAAAGGAAACAAATAAGGACTGGAATAGCATAATCATCGGAGATAAATTGATGAGGGACAAACAGAACAGAAAATATTGCTACAATCTGGAAACTGTTAATGCAGTCACAGGTGAGCAGGAAAGGCTCACGAAATCCTTGGAAAAAGCGGTAATAATTTCAAGAAAATAAAAATTAGAACTGCAGTAACCGTAAAAAGAATGCAATGTGCTAGAGATGCAGACCTAATCAAGCTCATGCATACCAGAATCTAACACTACAATCTGAAGGTTGCACCAAATTGTTGATATTAAAGTTTAAACTTAAACTTGGTATCCTAACAAATAAATAGGACACTCAATTATAAAAACTTTGTAAATAAAAGTAAGAGAAAAGCCTCTTCACTTTTCTCTCATTTGTTCAACTTTTGGCCAAGTGCGTCCCAGATATTCCAGAAAAAGTATGTTCAAATTCTAAGAAGAGCCAGAAAGAGAGTAAATAACTCTAATTTCACTACGTCCTTTTTCAGCAAGAGTAGCAAAGAACATTAATAATTAATCTGATCTCTCCTATCATTACGAATGAGCTTAAGAGATGCTGATCAATAAAAACTCTCATAATCTCAAGTTAAAATGCTAGGTCCCCCTCAATAACTCTGATTAGAATTTGAACTTTTGGAGCAAGTTATATAAACCAAGGGAATACTATTTCACTTACTGAAAAAGTAGTGTTCAATCATAAGCCATACATCTTCCAGAATTCAAAACAGAAATTTCTTTTCACACTTGAAAACTTAATTCATTCAGAAAAGGATGATGTTGTCTTACCTCTTTTTGTAACTTAAAACACATATCTTCTTATATTTTACTCTAATGTCACTCACTCTAGCTAAAAATTACTACCTCCGTCCCAAAAAAACAGTCCACATTTGAGTTTTTCAAATTTGTGCTAAAAACCGTAAAAAATTCAAAACTCAAAACTCAATTTTGACTATTTTTTGTGGGACGGAGGAAGTATTTAATCCAACTACTGCTAATCAAGTTCACAACTTTTCGGGTATACTCCCTAATCACTAAATAGATTTGAAAGAAAACTAACTCCCTAATGTAGAACAGCGAAAGGGAGAAAAAGACAACCCGAAAAAAAAAACCCTCTTAAATCAACAATCATGTTGCATTTCTTAAAGTAATTCCTCGCACTCAATATTCATTACATCCTAAATTTACCAAGAGATTGCCCAAAAATCTTGGCACCAAAAATTAAGTTCACGGACAAAATGAGACATCGCGGTGCAGAAATTGGTTTGAAGGACAAAAGAAAGGGAGTCAGGGGATAACAACCGACAAAACCGGCATTGGGCAAGATGAACTTTTGCACCCGAAACACTGTCTTACCTGATTCATCGTTTGGCACTGTAAAGTTGCTTCCATGTTTGCGCCCTTAGGGGGAGGAATTAACCCAAACCAGGTGATTTTCATTTTGCAGCTTTGTGAGTTTTGTAGGCTTTAAAGTGGGAAGGGCAAGTGAACCGGGTCTCTTATATATATAGCTTGTATTCAGTCACTATTTATAGCTTGCAAATTCATGGTTAAGAGTTAAAGAAGATGAAGAAAGGGATCATCAACATGTTCTTGTCTGAAACTATGGTGGTGGAGCTTCGGTCAAAAGTGAAGCTGATCTCCATTTCAGCTCTCATCATTTGCGAAAATTTTGTTAAAGGCTTTCATTCGCATGACCTTTTCTTTCACTTGGATTAAGAATTCAAGTCTGGAGTACTTAGCAACTATAACCAAAGCACAGATAATAAGATTGACCTTATATAGATACAATAACCGAATGTAATAAAAACCATCCAGGAAGACACAAGCTAGAGATCCTTCTTCTCAACAAAAGGAGGGGATCGCTCTACAGCTTTGATCATCATACACCACTTGCAATTCAACTGAGTGGCGGGCATCGTTGAACCTATAACCAATTTTTCTTCCCACACAAGATCGAGCTTTGTTAAAACTCCTTAATTTCCATACGACGAGGCAGAGCTTTGTTGAAGCCACGCAGGTCTTCCTTTCCAAACATATTTTTCCTGGTCCCATGATTAATCGGATTCTTCTTCTTGGTCTTCAGGTGCAAATTTGTATCCTCTTCTAACTAGAGGTATTCTTTTTTGTGTGACACCACGAGAAGACCACGGTCTGACAAGACTATCACTAAAGATGTATCCTTCATATAGACAGCCCCTGCCGCATATATCCGTACGAATAACGAAGGGCTTTTTCTTGTCCTTAGTCTTCCAATCCTCTTCCTCATCAACCTCATCAACTGATTGGGTATAACTTTTAACATCACAATAATCACATCTCTCAATGAAAAATAGTTTCCTACCTGCATTCCCACTCCACTCGCATGTATAACCAAAGGTAATACATCCCCAACCAGCACATGGAGAATCACAACCACTTTCGTTTTCAAAATTAAATCTCGTCCAAGAATCTTTCGCGCCATACTCCTTCATTATCCACAAACAAGAACTACTCCGTTCTCCAGATTTGCGCGTGAAGCTAAGACATCCATCCAAAACACCCAACTCCCAATTGTCTTCCGAAGATTGAGCACAAGAAGGAGGCAGCGGAACAAGATGAAACTTGTCGGTTCTAAGGTCAAATGCCACTATTACTTTCTCATCATCACAACCATCCTCAAACAGTATCCAATGTAGAGCATGGTTAACCTGTACTCCACTACGGTGACTACCCCAGGGCATAACTGAACGTATTAGGAATGGCTCCTCATGTGAAACACCCTTCCAAGATTTTGATTTTTTTTCGAGCTATAAACTTTAACTTCTTGCTCTACTACACGACGTCTGTTTATATGATCATTAAAAATCGTTTGAACCCATCTTACCAACTTGTAATCATCACGGATTTCATCGTACCCAAAACCATAAGATGTGACCACATCGGTATGATTCTCCGGATTCCAATCGAGTGATACAGGGGAATCACGCAATCTCCAGTAGCTGTTGATACTTGGATTCCATAACACAACCCCAAGTTCATGTCCATCCGGGCTAAAACTTTCGTAACTCACACAGATCAACCCATTGCGAGAACCACGGAGTTGACCTGTGTAACACTTCCTCCCGCGAAGCCTAATACAAGGCAATCGGATCTGCACTTTGGTAGATTCCAACTTTGCCAGTGAATCGAATTCCGCAACCACATAACTAGAGTCATCAAATCCGTGGACGCTGCCGATAGGCCCGATACCATCACCATGGAACATTAACTTAAGGGCCCGATCGGGTTGCGATGGAGATGATTGGCCTCGGATCAAGTGCAATTTTTCGAAACTTTTGCTTTCAATCAAAGCTCGCCATGATTTGGAAACCCTCCTAAGTTTCCACAGTGACTCTGCAGAAAGCCTTACCAGCACCTCAGTCAAGAGATCTTCCGGAAGGTTGCTTAACATTTTCACCGGATTCTTCACAATTCAGGCAGACTGGCGCCGGGAGAAAAAAGATTTCCCGAAACAATTAATTAAAGATTCACAATATCAATTGATGACGAATAATATCAGCCTAACATGCATATCTGATATATCCTTATTCAACTAATAAATACATCCAATCTGCATTTATATTAGATCTAGTTGAATTAAAGCGTACCCGAAAAGCTGTGATTTGGTTCGGAAATCACGCAGGTGAAAGCAGCCCCAAAACCCAGCCGGAACCGCCTTCGACCACCTTGGTGCGCCGCCTGTTTCTCAACTTCGGATGGAAAATTTTATACCGCTCTCCCTTTAGAGAATAGGTCATCGCCTAGAGTACCATCTATCTATCAACAGTACTCCTCAGTCCTTAATATAGGCATTTTGATTTGTTCTATATTTAACCTAAAAAAAAACCTTTAAAATATTTCATAATAATTAAGAGAATACCATAATTATGAAAATATATTTTTAAAAATATTTCAAATAAGTAAGAGAATACAATAAATGTGAAAATATATTTTTAAGTTTTTTCGTCAATTAAAAATACTAGGTAAAACCTAAGACAAAATCAAAATGTCTTATATTAAGAACCGGAAGGAGTATATATATATATATATATATATATATATATATCCCTTTTACCCTATTAAAGCAGAAGACATGAAGCTTATGTGGCAATTACGTATGCATCTGTTTTGGCTCCAATGCACTATATTTCAGATTTTAGGAGTCTTTTTACCACGTGTAAGTCTCTTTTAATTAGAAACTACATAATTCTTTTTTTTTAAAAAAAAAACATGTTTTAGATGTGACACTTATCCAATGAAAAAATTCTACAAATAAGAATCAGTTACATTTCAAACGAATGGATATATTAATTCAAATTCAAATGTCCAATGGTACAGTTTTGCAGGTTTAATATAAACAAAAAATAAAAAAAAACCTAAATCCAGTAATTAAGAATAATGCATTATAAACTAATTATTTATTATTCCCTTATTATTCCCATAGCATAAATGATATATACGCCAAATTAATTTCTCAAAAATAGTAATTCAATTAGATTTTAATAAAATATTAATTTAGAAGGGGTGCCCGGGCATCTGCCTGGGCCAAACATCTAGTATATATTATACTAAGAAAGAAACTAGAAAGAGAAACAAAAAAAGATTTCTAAGGGTGCCACATAGGATATGTGGTATTGTTTAAAAAATTATCAAAAAAAAAAGTTTATTCATTTACACTACAAGACCTTAGGATTTATGAAAGTAAATTTTTTCACAGTTATAATTTTGTATTAATGGACATAATGGACGGCTGAATAGGAAATAAGAATAGAAAATAATTAGCATTGATTAATTTGATTCGGATGGAGAATTATTCATGGAGAATTATTCCTGCAAAATCTCGGCTCATAATAAATTTGAAATAATTTATTATCATTATGAGCATTAAATGTGTTAATATTTTCCATAATTTTTATTTTGATTATGACAACCTATTATTTTTGTATATAAAAAATTGTGCAATTAACATTTAAATACTATTTTCAAATTTAAACATCATTTAATAATAAAATTAGAGCACTTAACCGGATATATAAAATAATAAATAAAATTAATGACAAAATTTGAATTTGAATTTTAAAGTGGCAAAGTGTAGTGACTTGTGATAATGGTGAAATTTCAAACCATCGCAGCTGCATTTAAAGAGGCAAAAAAGAAGAGGTAAAACTTATCATTAACTTTTAAAAAATGACAAATCTTCTCGAAAAGGCTGTTAATATAGTACTATACAAACTCTTTTTTTAAAAAAATATGTTTTACAGGCAACAGCAATGAGTTTCTCTAATTGCAATAAAGGTAACTGTCAACTTTGATGCAGAGTAATTTAGTTACACCGAATTCCCTTTTGCTTTTTTGTTTTTAAATGTTATTGCTTTGTCCAGACTCCTTAGTCAATCAAGAAGTATGTACTATACGTGTTATATTTTTTAGAACGTTAATTCCACCATATCTAATTATTTTTTCTTGTATCACATTTTACTTTATCCAAAATTTATAAATGTAAACAGTCAGGACATTTTGCGAATAGATGCAAAATGAAGAAAAGAATAAATAGTTTAGATATTAGCCAGGAAATTAAAAACGAATTAATTAATTTGTTAAACTCAGAATCTGAATCAGAAAGCTCAGATGAGGCTGAAATAGATCAGTTAAGTTATACATCAGAGAGTTCGGAAACTGAGGCTGAGTGTTGTGATCCTTGTAGGGAAAATAATAATTGTATAAAAGAAATTAATGATGAAAATGAAGAATTTTATAAAATTATATCTCAATTTAGAGAATCAGATATTAGTGTTTTGACTAGTAATAATATTTTAGAATTCTTGAGATCAATAAAAGACCAAGAATTAAGATCAAAGATAATTGAACAAGTTAGTAATATTCCAAGTAGTAGTAATGAATCATTAGAAATAGAGAATAATCCATACACAATGGATAAAGTATATAAGATGCTTAAAGAAAAATCTAAAAGGGTAGAAAAAGCTCCTACCACAGTAAGTGATTTAGGAGAAGAGATTAATAATCTTAAAGAAGAAATAAAAATTCCAAAATTTTAATAATTAATATTTCAAAAGATTTATACATAGGTAACAAACATTTTTATATTTCATAAAAAAAAACTCATAAAAATATTGTAACATACCCGGACATCGTGCGGGTTTAACATCTAGTTTCTTTAATAAAATTTTGATTTATAACTTAAGGGCTTGTTTGATAAAGTCACGTAATACTTAAAATTATTCGGTTAAGTATTTTTTAATTCAGCATGTTTGATAACAAAAAGTGAACCTCTTATTGAATTAAGTGGTACTGAAACTGCAGTACAAAATATAAACAATAAAAATTAGCTTATTACCTATTCCGTAATTACTTAGTGAATTTAGCATTTCTAATTCAGTATTAAACGTTCAGAATTAAGCATTAATTTTTATCAAATAGGTCCTAATAATCACATAAAGGTAGTGATGACATGTTAAAATAAAAAGAAAAGAGAAAATCATAGTAAGTGTAATTACATGCACAACAAATGTAAATGTTATTATATAGTTAGTGATATTGTTCATGCAATTTTTAGCCTCCAGAATAAAAAATTCCCTTTTCTTTCCAAACTGCCCTTATGAATTCTGTTATCTGTCTGGCCGAGGCTCAATTGATTCTCAACCTATTTTTTGGCTTCCCTCACCCTCTTAATCTCTATCAGCCCCTCTTGATGTCTCTTTATACTCTATCCAGCAGAGTTATAGACTGCCAATCATATCAGACCTACTGAAATCTCAAGTCAATAGAATTTTTCTTTAGAGCTCAAAATGAAGACGAATTTCGGAGTGTTTTTGTGAAGCTAGAACCAAGAAGACAGATTAAGTTGTATAGGTAAATACTTTGTTTGATTTTTATCAATTATAAATTGAAAGGCAGATCGAATATAGAAGAAGGTCAATAATAATTGATTGACGAAAAGTTTAGAAGAGAGATTAGTATTTGAGAGGAAATTAGTTCGATAATTAGAAGAAAAAGAAGTGCTAAAGTAATTAGAGAGATCAAGAGAGAGAAAAATAAAAAGCCTGACTTCATAGGAACAATTTTGGAAAGAAAAATGAATTTTGATCTGGATACTAAAAATTGCGTTTTCAATATCGTTACCAATATATACATATCCTAACATCTGGTTGTGTACATTGTTATTCTACTCCTAGAGAAGTTTTTTTTTTTTTTTTTTTTTTATGTTTTTTCACTTAAGGGAGAAGCTTTCCTTCTTTTTTGTATGTAGCTGGTTCGGAAGTCGGGAGCCATGAGAACACTATCAATATTTCTAAACTCATTAATTACGCTCTTGGTTATGTGGCTCCTGCTTGATTGTAAAGTTTGTACCTCTCTATTCTTAATGTTTGTCGTACTTGTCAACCTCTGAAACTTTAGCTCTTTTAACTTCATAAACGCAAGAAAGAAACCAGAAGTTTAAATGGAAAAATATAAACCACCACTGCACACATATCATAATTCATCGCCACCTGCTTGTCACCTTGATTAATAATAGTGTAAGGTACGAAATTTGATTCAAAAACAAAAGATACATGGTTCTCAGTCTCTACCACCAAAAAAAAAAAAAATGCATAATTTTTTATAATAATAACAATACGTACAGGAAAAAAATGATAAGAAATTGATCATACACATTTATGTTTTACATTTAAAAGAAAGATGTCATCAGAAGTCATCGACCAATCAAATTATTTGACAAGTTCTCATCATTAAAAAAGTTTAGCAGCATGAGTAGTGTCTGTCAATCCTATTTGTATAAATTTATAGTTACAAATTTAAAAATATATATATATATATATATATTTACATTAAAGGTGTGGTTCGTACAGGATCATAGGGAGTATAAAATAGTTTAACTGATAGAGAAAATTAGACGATTTCTTCATAGGGATATTAGTTAGCAATAGCTGATAAAGAATTGATCATAGGGATTATTTGGTAGCTTTAATAGCTATTTAGGATTAAACGTTAACGTATTTTCACTTCAGTTAAGTCTAATGTGCAAAATGTAATCGTAATTTTGAAGAGATGCTAGGATTCGATTCCTGATTTTAATTTCTTACAGGCAAATGTTTTTTTCAAAAAAAACAAAACAAAACAACGATGCTATACCTAGTGAAAATTCTCAATAAATTTTCGATCAAAAAATTAAAAATGTAATAAGAGAGTGCTAATTTTGTCGCACCCATGAAAGATAATAAAATGAGCTCGTTATCAGCTCCAATTTCTACATTGATAACCAAACATGCAAGACTGATTATTAATAAGTATTACAGTCACAACAATCACTCAAACTTGGTTGACCTTTCTTGTTCCTGCACTTCCTCCTCTTTTTGTTCCTTTTTTCCTTTCTTATGTTGTTGGTTTTTGATAGCTTCAATCAGTTTGAGTAAACAAATCTCCACATGATCATCCCTCCATTTCCTTCTTGGCATCAAATTCTCTGCAACATCACAAGCACTAACCTCGTTTTCCTCTAACAATTGTCTGATTTCTCCAAACAAAGGGTGCGAGTCAATGTCCAAATAGTTCTTAGCCAATATCTTGAATGCCTCAAATTTGCAGTAAGACATCTCAATATGCATGTCCATCCGTCCTCGACGAATCAATGCCGGATCGAGTTTTTCGACCTGATTTGTTGTGAATACGATGACCCTTTCTTCCCCACAAGCTGACCATATCCCATCAATGAAATTCAGCAGCCCAGATAGAGTCACTTTACTCCTGTTTTTATCCTCCTCTGTTTCAGAACTCTGCTTCTTATTATTGTCTTCGCCATCTTTTTCATCTCCTGATTCCTTTTTGTCATTCTTTCTTGCTCCGGTGAGATCAAGTGAGCAATCTATATCTTCAATAACTATCATCGATTTGTTGCTCGTTTCAATCAAAAGCTGCTTCAACTCTGCATTTTCCCTAACAGAGGTGAGTTCAAGATCATAAATGTCATAATCTAAATACTTAGCTATTGCTGCGATCATGGTTGATTTTCCACTTCCTGGAGGACCATAAAGCAGATACCCTCTCTTCCAAGCCTTCCCGATCTTCTTATAATAATCTTTCCCTGTCTTAAAAGAATCAAGATCATCAAGAATTTCTTCCTTCTTCAAGGGATCCATCCCGAGGGTATCGAAACTCGCAGGATGCTGGAAATTAATGTAACTCCACCTTCCCCCTTTCCAGTAACAATCCTCGTCTTTGTTGTTGGTGTAAAGCCTCCTCTTCCTGTTTTGAAACTGAATTGATTTCCCTTCTTTCATGACATGATTCAAATAATCTTCCATGACGAGATCTCGATATCTCGAATGCGCTTTAAGAACAAAACTCCGCTTCTCAAATGGCATACTATTCCTGCCGGAACCATGGCCACTTTCCTTGACGGTTTCCTGGTAAGCAACCCATTTGATCTTGACATTCTGGAACTCATCAATGACCTCGTCGCCTTCGTCCAAGGTGAACTGCAGAGATTTGCTGTTCCGGGATTTGTCTGCTTTGAGATAAGCAGCCTTCTTGATGGATTTAGCACCCAGGTAATTCTTGATGCAAGTGTAGGCTTCATTGGTCCGGCCATTGTTGTTGTTGTATTCTTCAAAAGTAATGTGCATATGCTGAATGAAGTAATTGGGAAGCCTGGAAAACCATTTCTGGATGTGGTATTGGAAATTTTCCGGCAAGAATTGTTGAACTGCGCTCCATAGGAAGAGCAGTCCTCCCAGGCCTGAAACTAGTTCAGCAAGTGCCATTCCCATAATCTTAAGAACAATGTTTTTTTCTCTTTTAAACTTGTGAGTCATAACAATCATTTTGATCTTAAAGGTCTATTTATAATTTGCAAAAAGTTACATATGTGTTGAACGAATTAGATTCTCTTCGGAACAACACGCTAGAAATACAATTAAATTAGCAAAGAGTGGGACGGATAGCCACATTATCTTTCTTCTAATTTTGGAAATTTGGAATCATCTTTGCTCATGTACAAAGAAAGTTTCGTTACAAGAAGTTAGATTCTCTAATTATATATGAAAACCGTCTTATCTCATATGAAATCATAGGCACAATTCCAAACTGGAATAAGGTTTTACAATTCCAATCATAAAGTAATTTCAGAATATTCTAAAATGATTACCAAACTGCACAATCATTTCGTAACAATGAATTAATGGTTATTATTCAAAGACTGGCTAATTATCTATTATACAGTATAACAAAATCTAATCATCGGAATAAGGGCAAAGAACCTAAAACTTCCGGTGATTTGAGAAATTTGCTGATGACCTCCATAATTTAATAAGTTACGAGAAACCTCCTCATATACTCATACTTTGGCAAAAGTTGCAAAGTTGAAGGAGGTGTCTTACTCGATTAGTAAATAAGAGAGATAGATGTTCCTCGTGCAAAAAGAAAGCGCGTGCGTAAAATTCCATTAACATTAAATAAGTGGGGGATTACTTGCAACATACATATGACACGTGAAGAATCAATGAGTTTTAAATTCCAAAATCTTTCTGTTTTTCTTCATGGTCTCAGATGCAACATGTGAAATATGAGCCCTCTTTGTGAAGAGAATCAACTCAATTAACTTCATAAAAAGTGATAGTTTTATCCAATTCCATTAGGCTAAGTTATTCCTAAACTGGAGTAACATGGACTGTTTGTTGTTTTCTTATATTTAAATGGTCATTCACACTACTTTTTATGTGATGAAAATGATGCCTACATATATAAAATTATAATGTGAAATCAGCAAAAGTTGTTCACCATGGAAAAATCTAAGGAAACTTTAAATGCAAAAAAAAAAAAAAAAACAAACAAACGTGTCGATTTAATGTTAAATAATCAAAAAAAGCAATGTCCTAAAAGAACCTGAATCTGAAGATTGGATGGAGATCAACACTTCGCATTAATAGCCAAAGAAAGATAACTAAAAAGAGTTCATCAGCACAAGACTGTTACACAAGATCTAAAACCATTTAATATTCGAAACTCGAAAGTGGCTGAAAAATGCTTCCTATATCCAACAAAATTTCAATTACTCGATATGTTGGAGTGTTTTCATCCTGGACTTCCCCTTCTTCTTCTTCTTCTTCTTCTTTGATATTGCCTTTGTTGTTGTCGGTGGCTTTGATAGCTTCAATTAATCTCACCAAACATTTCTTCACATGGTCTTCCGATTTCCCTCTTGGCATCAAGTTCTCAGCCACATCACAAGGACAAACATTCTTTTCCTCTAACAATTCCCTGATTTCTGCAAACAAAGGGTGTTCATCAATGCCCAAATAATTCTTAGCCAATATCTTGAATGTCTCAAATTTGCAATAGGACATCTCAATATGCATGTCCATTCGTCCGCGACGAATCAACGCCGGATCGAGCTTTTCGACATGATTAGTAGTGAATACGATGACCCTTTCTTCCCCACAAGCCGACCATATCCCATCAATGAAATTCAACAATCCAGATAATGTCACTTTACTCTTGTTCTTATCATCCTCTGTTTCATCACTCTGTTTCCTCTTCTCATCTTCTGATCCCTTCTCATTCTTCTTCCTTGATCCCGTCAGATTAAGCGAGCAATCTATATCTTCGATGACGATGATCGATTTGTTACTCGTTTCGATCAACAGCTGCTTCAACTCTGCATTTTCCTTAACAGTGGTGAGCTCAAGATCATAAATATCATAATCTAAATAATTCGCCATAGCTGCAATCATAGTTGATTTTCCACTTCCTGGAGGACCATAAAGAAGATAACCCCGTTTCCAAGCCTTCCCAATCTTCTTGTAATAATCCTTCCCATTCTTAAACGAATCAAGATCATCAAGAATTTCTTCTTTCTTCTCAGGATCCATTCCAAGACTATCAAAAGTAGCCGGATGCTGGAAATTTATGTAACTCCACCTCCCTTTCCAATAAGAATCATCATCTTTATTGTTGGTGTAAAGCCTTCTTTTCCGATTTTTAAACTCAATTGCATTCCCTTCTTTCATCACAAAATTCATGTAATCTTCCATCACCAAATCCCGATACCTGGAATGAACTTTCAGGATGAAATACCTCTTCTCAAACGGCCTCCCGTTCCTCGATCCGCCGCCGCCGCTGTCCTTGATGGTTTCCTGGTAAGCAACCCATGTGATCTTCACGTCTCGGAATTCATCCACGACTTCATCTCCTTCATCTAAAGTGAATTCCAGGGATTTGCTGTTCCGGGATTTTTCTGCTTTCAGATACTCTGCTTTCTTGACCGATTTAGTGCTCAGATAGTTCTTGATGCAGCTGTAGGCTTCGTTGGATCGACCATCTTCACAGTATTCGTTGAAGGTAATGTAGATTCGTGGAAAGATGAAGCATACGAGATGGTTGCACCATTTTTGAAACAGATATTGGAACTTTTTGGGCAGAAATTGGTCAATTGCACTCCATAGGAACAATATTCCACCAAGTCCAGAGACGAGCTCTGTAACTGGAATTCCCAGTATCTTCATTGTTTTTACAAAGGTTTTGTTATTGTTGAATAAGTAAAGTATGAAACATCTTTTAGTTTCAGCTTTGTAGTCTATATGTATAGTACTCCACTTTATATAGTTTGTTTATAAGGTTATGCAAACAAAAGACACAGAGAGTTAGTAGGTCGTCCAGTGAGAACGTTTTGAAAATGTAAGAAAGTTTTGCGAGCACGTTTTGAAAATGTAAGAAAGTTTTGCAGTCAAAAAGGCTTCTTTTTTTTTTAGAGCAGTCAAAAAAAAAAATTTTAATTAACTTCTAGATGTAATAAATTATTTTTATCTGTCAAAAAATGATTTTCATGTTTAGATTTTTACTTTTAATATTAATACAATTTGTACTAAAAAAAATAAAATTTTACATTGGATAATTATTTTAGAGTAGTGGAAATATCCTAACAACTCAAAATATGTAAAAGAAAAACAAATTTTTGGGAAAAAAAAAAACAATGGATTATCGGTCAATGGTCCAAGAATTATAAGGTAGTTTCTACATGCGTTTAGTCAATTAATTTAAATTTTCTATGATTTCTAGATCATAAAAGAAGTTATTGATGACTAAAATATATCGGTATCACATAAGTAGATGAAACTGCAATTTGTTTTTTTAGCCGATGTTTATATAAGTTTAAACTTTTGATCAGCTGCGAGCAATCCAACTGTGTTTAAAATGTCCCATGATGCAATTAATTTTTGTGTATGTTCCATCAGTCCATGGAGCAAAAGGACAAATAAATGGTACATAGAGTGAATGCGTCTTTTTTTCTCATCGGTCAAATTTATGAATTTATTTTCTAAAAAAAAAGGGAGGTGCAAAATCAAAATTCAATCCAACACATGATGATTTGGATTTGTTTGTTTGTTTTCGTTTTTATAAGATAAGGTCGGTCACTGTACTAATTAGGTCCAAAATTGTTGACTTCACTGTGTGAAAATCAGCAAATTAAAAGTAGTTCCAGAAAACTTACACGGAAACTTCACAGTTGAAGTACCCAAACCAAAAAGAAGCTCTATGAGCCTATGATGACCATGATACTCCCAAGTTAACCCGTCTACTGTTACCTCTATAGTTTTGTTTTAGTTCAACATATATCAACGTTCCATCTATTTTAGAACAGAAAGAATACTTTGTAAAATTAGAAATATTTTATTTCAACTCTTATCGACACGTAAATCATCTCGAATCACGCAATGAGATTTTTAATAAGTAACCAAAAAGAAAGAAAGAAAAAGAAAAACGAAAACGAAAATAAAAACAAAAACAAAAACGAAATTTGGAGGAAGATGAAAGTATGAAACAAAGGCTCTGTTTCGTTCCTTTTTTGGATGATTTTTTCAGAATTTTTTATTAATATCTATCCCATCTCAGCATATCTTTTTACATTCTTAATGCACCTTTTTATATTTACAATACACCTTTTTACATTCTCAATACAAAAAAACACACTCAAAAAACCTTCCAAACAAAGTTAAAGCTTTCGACTTCCCCATTGCCTCTGTAGTTAAGAGTGAAACCAAATACACCAGGTGTTCGGGGAGCCTCCTCCTCCGGAGCAGCCCTTCTCCGAGCAGACTCCAGATCAGAATATGCTAAACTCACAAACCTCTCAGTCTCCACTAAAAATTGATCCCACAAAGATTTGCACTGCAAAGGAGTTGAGAGAGTTCGCGATTTCGGAACCTGATCCCACGTGTTTGAAGCTAAGGGATCATCATCATCATCCATTGACATAATCTTTGCCACAACATTCTTCAATGATGAAAGAGCAGAATTTTTGTTAACTAGTAAAGCAAGAGACAGAATTTCCTCAACATTATCTGTCTCACCATCCAAACGGATCGCTGCCAATACCGACAATAACTTCAGCGAAGCAGAACGGGCAATTTTGGCAAATGATTCAATGCTTTTCTTACTACTAAATACCGGTGGCAATGGCGAGTAAGGATCATTGCGAAACAACGTCGAGAACCTGTAACTCATGTGTGAAAGAACACTTGCCGCTGCCTGTTTTGCCTCTGACTCAACCACGGTTCTCGCGTAAGCTTTCAATTTGGAGACCGTTTTCTGTTTTGTTTCTTCATCCAACCCAAAACCCGAAAGTGAAGAACTAAAGCCAGCAATTGAAGTTCTAGTTTCTGTTTCAAACAGATTTTTTATTGACAGCCATGTATCGCTACCTTCTTCTTCAACCAGTAAAATTTTCACTGGTCCAGCTAAGGCTTTATGCAAGTTCAGCCCGTACATGGTTGTTAGTTTGGATAGTTCGGTTGCACGAATTGTCGCAACATGTACATCTATATGACACCGGAGTTGTTCCCTCGATCGCCTGAGATATGTCCCATTCCCAATATACATTGTCGACGACGGACTCATCAAATTGCGACATGAATTTCTCAGTGCATAAGGTAGCTTGTTTGGCAAACTCTTTTCCTCCATTCAATTTCAAAGCTGCGTCGAAACCTTCTTCAAATCTCTCCGAGGCACCAACCCGAATATGTTCCAGGATTGATTTGTAAGTAGGTTGGACAAGATCCATTAATTTCCATTCCAGCCGTTTCCTTTTCTCCATTCTCACAGCTTCATCAACATAAGCTGCTTCGACATCGAATTCAGACAGGCAAGTCTTGATGATTGTACTAAGCTCCTTTCCAAAATTGGGCACTGGATCATCAGCAAATACACAAGTCTCTGGATCACGAGCATAGAGGCAACAATTCCTGATGATTGTACTAAGCTTCTTTCTGAAATTCGGCACCGGATGATGAGATTCTGGCGGAGATGAATGATTATATTGATTCACAGCGTCTTGTATCTTAATCCAATCCTCATTTTTCTGAAAAGAACCGAATTTCGTGTCTGCTAACTCTTCACATCGTATGTGATCCATCATATCCTTTCGGGAAGGTAAGTGAAAGTCCTTAATCCCTTTTACGCTCTTCCATATCTTTTGAGCAGTGCTGAAACAAAACTCTGATGCTGGAACCAGGGCTTTTCTTTCTCCAGCAAGCCCGCCCGGCGTGATCGAGTTGAAGAATCGCGGTCTTAGATTGGCCACATCCTCTTTAAATTGTTCTTCCTTTTCCACATAGTTGGACAATGCCACAACTTCCACATTAAAATACTCATCCAATGGAATTTTCCTGTCATCATCATCATCATACCTTGGATTGGGAGGAGAATCCCAAAGGTCTTGGAGCACTTCGCGAAGATGACCCTCCAAAACCTTAAAAGGTACTATTCTGCTAGGATCACGTGTTACAAACATCAGAGTGGTTTTTCGAGGAGGAAACCGTCGCATCAGGACCTGGAACTCACGGGGAAAAAAATATTGGATATCGCGGTAGACCAGAGGTTCACAAGCACTATATCGGAAACTGCGAGAGCAAACAGGGCACTCAGTTTCTCAAATTCAGGATCCTCGTCCTCCTTACGGCTATCAATACCTTCCATATCCATGACAATAGTACAAGGTTCGATTCCGGGGCATTTTGCCAACCGAACTCCAAGAGTAGTCTTTGATCTCCCTTTATAAGCATCCATTTCTCTGAAATTTGTGCCAAAGAGATGATTCAAGAGGGTGCTTTCCCCACTAGTTGCTATACCAATGATGGATACTACTGCATAAGAAGACCCTTCATTCTCAGCTAAGTTTACTTCTTCCATGAAATTCTCAAACCCTCCAAGATTAAATGTTCCATCCCCAGCTATGATGGGAGTTTCAAAACAAAGGATTGCTTTCATCAATGGTAGAAACCCAAAAAAAAAAAAAAAAGAATTTTTAATGATTGGAATGAGAATAGGTGATTATATTTGGAAAAAAAATGAAATTCTGCTAATGATAATTACTATATTGAATCTCGTGATTCTCTCCATAGAAGTAGTGATCTTCTTTTATACACTAGTGTTTTACCCGTGCGTTGCACGGTGAGCAAAGTAGAATAAAATTTTCCTTCGTTTTTTACGTTAAATATGAGGACTTAAATTAAACATATAAAAATATAAAAGAAAGTGTATAATAAATGATAGTTTTGCATATAATTAAGACAACGGGACACAAGTAAAAGTATATAAAAATATAAAGCATTCGTGCCATATGCCAATATAAATCATTCGTGCCATTAATATAAAATGCATCGGAAATAATCAAAAATTATAAAAAGCTTCAAATCAGGAATTCTATTTTCTAGGACTTCTTTGTAAATCACATTTGTTGTCCGATTGTGGAATTCCTCATCCTTGGTACAAATAAGGATTTTAAGACATTTTCTTGATTTTACTCTTTAAAAAGCGACATACAGTTGCCCATGAGTAAAAACTGGATGACGCAAAAACAACCCGACTTCAGAAAGTGACTGTCCCTGACTCTTATTGATTGTCATAGTAAAGCATGCAACTACTGGAAATTGCCTCCTCTTTAGTTTAATTGGCATCCTCTCATCACTGGGACTAATATTACGTGGAATGAAAGCTTTTTTCCCAATATTAGCTCCTGATATGATTGTCGCCTGAATAACCAGTTGTCCCAAATCATTGACTTGTAGCCTTGTACCATTACATAATCCTCCTGGTTGATCAAGATTTCGAAGAAGCATTATTGGAACTCCGACTTTTAGGGTTATTTTATGGTTTGGCATTCCTGAACATTTTATGAAGTTGAGGAACTCGGTTGTATAAACTTCATCATCATCCGGGTTTAACTGACCTTGCGGTCATATCTATGCAATCTGAACTGTAATAAACCGTTGCTTCGCCAGCTAGGAGTGACAACTTGTGATCATTAATAGCATCAACCTCATCATTCGTAGGTGCCAAGATAACTCTTTCATTGAAAAAATCTTTGACTTCCAAGTTGGACAAAATGCTTGGATAAATAGCATTGCAGATGGAGGCCACAGGAGTACCAGTTTGTTCTATAAGGAGATCTGCTGGAATTTCGAGTTCTACTTCTCCGCTGTTAGGACAACCTGCCTTTCCTTCGCCAATATCAAGTAACCAATCAAAGAATTCCTTGATATCGTTATTTTGGCTGCTATCAACACCTTGCCTTAGTCGCATATTCTTGGTCAGCTTTAGTACCTTGCATTTTTTCCACAAAGGTGATGAATTTATAGATGCATCGACAATTTCAAATCTAGTACCTTTGGGTATAACTGGAAGTATTTGACAAAAATCT